CAGTTTTTTGATCAATTTGGCTAGCTCTCTGAATGGAAATGGTTCAGTGACCAGTTGAAATTTGTTTGGCCGGCACAAACAGCTGATTTCTGACCATTTTTGGCATTTGTGATTGGCAGGCACATGATGTTCGCGGCATATAGGCGCTTCATTATGGCAAAATGAAAAGTGTTTCGCCTTCGTTTCTTATTCAACAACGAGAGTCATGGGAAATTATGCAAAAAAAACATAACAAAGTCAAAAAACTGACAATACACCTTCCGATTGCATCGATCGAAAAATATCAAGTGAAAGTTGACAGCCATCTAAAGATACATTTTTGTTGTTTGTACCTTGTTCCTGAGGTGAGCTTGCACTTGAATCGGAAAAGGTAACAATTTTTTGGGTGTTCCATGCAATTATGGTAATCGCATTATGGCCAAAAGGTATAGGACTTTAAGGAATTGGAAAGTTATGGGGATCAGCTGGTCAATGCGATTTAATCTACTATTATAGATGTAGGTATCAAACTTTCATTTCTTTGGTAAAGAATAAGATGTGAAACTTTTTTGAATGAAAGAAAATAGACTAAGTGGCGGAAATTTTTTCTTTAGATAACTGCCTTGCGCTAAGAAATGGAAATTCATTTTTCCCTTGCGCAAACTTTACTTCACAATGTTGGCAAATTGAATAGCAGCCGCAATGCCATTTGAATGCATTTCATTTTTAGTTTCTTTGGTCGGCGGTGTTGCAGTTTTTTGCTGCTGATATTTGCAGCATAATTTTTACAACATAACGCCCACAACACTTTCTCGCATAGTTAAGCGAATTATACAAAAACAGCGAATGGAAAATGAAAAAAAAAACGAAAACACAAAAGTAAAACGAAACGAAACACACAAAGCACAGAAAATGAAAGAAATACAAGAAATATTTCTGTCTAGCATTATTTTGCAATTTCCCACATAATTATTAAGCGCCATAGCAAGAGGGAGACAGAGAGAAAGAGAGAGTGAAAGGGAGATAGGGTGAGGTAGAGCAAAATAAATGAAAAAAATAGTTAAAGAGCGCGCGCTTTAAGCACAGATACACAGAAAACTATAATTTCTATCAATTTAATATTGAATAGGAATATGTTCTTTTATGAAGTTTAATCTACTTTCGTTTCCATTTTTGAATTATAAAGGATTCACAAGGCTTCCAATATTGCAGATAGAGATTTTTACCTTTAACCAAAAGGTTAATTTTAACATTAAAGACTGAAAACTCTGCCAATATTGTTTCCAGTGCAGAGACAAAAGCTGAAGCCGCGACCGAGCCCCAGGAGTATCATCTTCCCCACCGTGGCCCCACTGTACACAGTAAATAATAATTTAATGCACGGCAAAGAGAGGAGACGACGGACAACGACAAGCCGAGCAGACAGAGAGATGCAGAAAAAATGCAAATATGATAATAATGTAGAAAAAAGCACAAAAGCATGCCAGCACGTCAAGTGAAAATTAAGAAAGAGTCGTTCATGCCGCACAAACACTCAGATGAAAGACTAAGAGAAATGCACACAGATGCCAACCGCCTGTTTTCTAACAACAAACCAACGAGAACTGTCGACTGTTTGATGGAAATTATAGCCACAGCAGCCAGTTGTGGAAAATCAGAGCCAACGGCGGAGTGGACTCAAAAAGATGCCCGATGCCCGATCGAAACCAGTAGATACGGCCGGAAACAGGTGTCGTCTTTGGAGGTAAGAGAGTCTAGAATACCCCACCATGCCATGAAGTTCGAAACCCATAAATAAGGTCTTAAGCATACCCAACCATATAGGGATAATATCCGTTGAGCTGACACTACGGATATAGAACATTAGTGAGATTCCTCTGTGTGGAAACGGTTGGTTACGCCTACTGACCATTTCCCACTGATGATTTCCGTAATAACATAAGCGGATAAGTGATTTAATAGTCTTGGACTTTACGATCTTACACCGAAGCTGCTACTCAGAATTCATTCTAAACTTAATGATTTACAAGTAAGCTTTGGAGTCTTTAGCTAAACTAGTTCCCTTCGTCAGTCATAAAGAATTGAGCACAGCCAAACAACTATATAAATTTATTTAAAGTAATCCGCATTTGCCAACTATGTGTACTTAGCCAGCAAACGAGAAGCGAATCTTTAATCTTCCATTCCTCTGATGTCACCAGGTGCTGAGGTGATCTCATTGTAATGTTCCGCACACCCAAATCAACGTCCAGAGAGGCTTATACCACGGCATCATTATATTCATCCCATCACCCCCGACGTAGCCATTCATTATGGGATTACACTTCGCGAAACTTTGGCAGCTGGACAAAGGTAGCTTGGTAAGTAGAAGCCTTTCAGAGCTTCCAATTGAATGCCGATGAAGTTTGATCCCCAAGCTGCGACGAGAAGCACGTTTTCAACTGCCATAGGTAAATGAACTCTTCTCCCCACCCCTTTTTTTCGCCTGGCGGATTCTTCTCCTAGACAAAAGCTAACGGTAATCGGGTCTATAGAGACGAGGAGAAAGAGACGGAGGTATTTTGCGGCTTCGCAAAAGTTCGTGAGAAAGCCAAGGCACAAACTGTAACAAAACTGATTACGACCAACATAATTTATGGCCAGCAGAAGCCCAGAAGAATTCTTTGTCGGGTTGGGAAGAAAAATGTAGTGAAAGGAGGGAGCACCCACTGATTGATTGATTGGCCTTCCAAGCTAATGCGATTTTCACTCTGGAAATTCTGTATGCTTTTTATATTCTTTGGGTATCCAGTGTCAACAAGTAAAAAGCGAAATAAATACCAAATTGAAATACACAGAGATGACGTCAAGAGCAAAGAAATAAGACCAAATGAATAATGCAGTCGAAGGTGGTTGGATGGGTTTCAGGTTTCGGTGGTCAAAAGTGAGTCTGGAAATGCCAGACGATGCTTTTGTTTCAGCTGAAACCATTTTACACACAATTTGGAAATAAATAAAAACCCCAGTCAACCGGCATTCTATGAAAAAGCTGGAAAACCTGTTTCACAGACGGGGTTAACATAAAGGTAAAACCGAGTTTAGGGGTGCAAAAAAGGCTTTAAAGGGGAATCATTTTATGTGGAAACTATGAATCATTTATGTGAAGAGTCTGACCAGCAATTTGTAGTTTCAATGGACTATAGATAACACTCAATGATTGATTTTTGATCCATCACTATCACACAAAACACTTTGGGCCTTGTTTCATGACCAATTTCGGTAATTATTTTCCCTCTCGATCACGAAACGCGATCTAATCGAGATCACGAAGAACACGAAAAATGCGAAGAACGGAGAGCGAGCGGCACACGTTAGCATTGAAAACCCGCCGTCAACTGAAGAGACAGCGGCGAAAAGCAAACTGTAGGCAAAAGCCAAATGCCGTTTTATCGACGACACCAGATACATTTGTATCTACAACTTCAACGCTCACGAAATCGCGCTCTTCGCCATTAAACGGAACTCTTACGTGTGCAGCCGCTTGGTGGTCGATGAAAAGCCGGTTCGCGGCTTAAAACTTTGAGCATTCTACTTAGCAGTTTCGAAGTTTGGCTCGAGACATCCAAGTTTATTTGCGGTGAGAGATAGTTTCGTTTATCTGGTTGTGGTGCACTATACTATGCATGTTGCTGCAACATTCACTGCTTGGCTGCACTGCTTTGAACCGCTTGTGCGCAAGAAAGTTTACCAAGTGCGATCAGAAGTTTTGAATTGTGAAGCATACTTTTGGGTTTTCATATTAAATTATATGTGTTTTCGTGTTGATATGCAAAATTTTGTAGAAAACTTTATTTAATTTAGCATTTCATTTAATTTAATGTTAATTTAGCAAACACCTAACTAAATGAAATGCCACTCTACATACGAATTTTCTACTTTAAGATCATTAGTTTGGGTCACAAAAATTGGTGGTCAGGTAAGCGAAACTAAATATATTCATATTTTACTACATGATGCAATAATGAAATATAATAAATATTATAATATACTTACGCAATTGAGTGTTTGCCAATAGCTTTGGCGATCCGCTTCCAGACGCAGAGTTCGTTGGCCGGGATGATGAGCCATTGCACATCAAACTCAAGTCGCTGTGCGAACTCTTGTGGCTGTCCTTGCTGTACGAGCGCCCACTGTAAGGAAAGACAGTGAACAACCATTAGCTACGATTTCAAATTAATTACTCAACAGTCGTTTGGTGAATAAACATAAAATTAGTTCGCCGAAATTATGCGCATAACGAATGCTAACTCTTTCAACCGGTCAACGATTTTCTTCTTTTCAACCATAATTTTCGCATTTTCCGTAGCCTTTTCAACAATCTGAAAACTTTGCAACGCAGCGACGGCACTGGAAAATTCACAAAGCTGTGAAATTATTGCAAACATTCTTCAAGCGTCGCTGAGCAATCACAAAACACAAACAAACAAAGCAGGTGAAAATTGGAAAATCAATTGGAAGACGCGTCAAATTTATGCACCGCTCCTTTCCGTTAAGTGGGTGAAATTTCCTTTTCGTCGCCGCTGTTCAACTATTTTTTCGCTTGCATTTTTTACTTACGACTTCCGTCGACAGCTCGCTAATTGAAAACTTTACAAAAAGAGAAAAATTTCAGCAGGAAACCGCAGAAAAAAAAAACGAGAGTGGCTAAAAGGAATTAGCAGTACCAACTGCGTTTCCGCTTGCCAACAACATAACTATAATTTTTACGCTCATCCTGCTAAAGCAAAAAGTTGATTTGTCGTTCGTCGCAGCAGCCAAAAGACATTTTTCATTCATATTTATTTACTCGTTTTCCGGCAACTGCTGGACATATCGGAAAATCGTTAATTTTAATTTCTTGTCGCATTAATGGCAATTATAACGAGTTGTTGATGTGGGCAAATGCAATCGTAGGCATTGCTTAAATTTTAATTAATGTAATGATAAATGCCTATTGCTGATTTAATATATTTTACTAGCTTTTTCTTTTCTGTCAGTTTTTATTTTTCAAAAATACACTTGTTTTCACCCATGTGGACACTGCAGGCTCTGGATGTCGCTGGGCAGATGAACAGCGAAGGGGATAGTGACTACCGACTGCCAATCGTCCTGAATCTGAATGATTTGATCAATCGATTGAAGAGTTTCCGACGCTCGAAGATGCAAAGGCTTCATTTGTTGGAGGCAGAAGTGAACACACTTTGCACCCTGGCACGGGAACTTTTCCTGGACGAGCCCATGCTGCTCGATGTTCCGGCACCCGTAAGAGTTGTGGGCGACATACACGGGCAGTATCAGGATCTGCTGAAAATCCTCGATCAGTGCGGATACCCGCCGCAGACACGCTATCTATTTCTCGGGGATTACGTGGACAGGGGAAAGAACTCGGTGGAAACGATCACCATGCTCTTGGCGCTGCGCGTCAAGTTCCCAAAGCACATTTACCTATTGCGCGGAAATCACGAATCGCAGGCGGTGAATCGAGTCTATGGATTCTACGACGAGTGCAAGCGGCGCTATACGGTGAAGCTGTGGAAAACCTTTGTCGATTGCTACAATTGCATGCCCGTGGCAGCCATCATTTCCCATCGCATCTTCTGCTGCCACGGCGGACTGAGTCCGCAGCTGAAGGAGCTCAACAATATCAAATCGATTGCCCGTCCCACAGAAGTTCCCGATACGGGTCTGCTATGCGATCTGGTCTGGAGCGATCCGGACCGCTATGGTTTCGGCTGGACACCGAGTGATCGGGGTGTTAGCTACCTCTATGGGCGCGATGTCATCGAGAGGTTTCTGCAAAAGAATGACTTCGATCTGGTGTGTCGTGCCCATCAGGTGGTGGAGGATGGTTACGAGTTCTTTGCCAAACGCCAGTTGGTCACCGTCTTCTCGGCACCCAACTATTGTGGCTTATACGACAACGCAGGGGCTTCAATGGGCGTGGATAAGGACCTAGTTATCTCTTTCGATATCCAGCGAAGTGAAAGTCGAAAAGTGGTTATTAAAAATGCCAACGTAACTCCCATAATTGAATGACGGACCGGAAAGTTTCGGATTAGCAGACAGCTAACAGCGCGAATTCTTTATGCTGCATGAACTATCAGTTCCTGCAAGATGTTAAGTGTATGTACTATCATCAAGTAATAATTTCATTTTGATTAAGGAGGGTATTTCACAAACATCAAAATGGCATTACTGCTTGATTGAAAATGTATAAATAAATTCAACAATGACAAGCCATTGGTCAACGCAATTTTTTTTCGTGTTTTTAGCACGCCACTTTCCCACCTTCTAAATAAACATTACTTCAGAATACTTAATTTTTGTCGGCAAAAAGCCCCGTGCACAAAGAAAATAAAAGCGAACAGAAATCAATTTCTCTGCGAAAACTATGCCAAGTCATTCGGAGTTTCTGCAGCGAACATTGTTTACCGGCAATACTTTATTTTCACTGCCAAGGTTTGCTTTCTGTGTCACCATTTAAGGCGCCGCCTTGGCCAATGCAAAGAAATAACTAAAAGCCAATCCCCCAAGAAAAGCGAACATTTCCGCCAGAGAAGGCTGAAGTAGGAAACAAGTTCATCAGTCCAGTTAGCAAGTGCAAGTTACAAATGTGGAGTTTTGAGGCATTATCAAAGTCCAGGGAAAGGCGGGTGGAAAGTCGGCGACTGGGCGGTAAATAGATTTAATTATGCAAAACGTGAAACGAACCCATCGACACGCTGAAGAATTCGCTGAAGCGTTGAACACTGACGGAAATCGAGTGAGAGAATCGATTAAACAGAAAGAGTCGGCTAGAGGCTGGCAGAAAGAGAGGGCGCTATTGGCATTATCCGCCTTATAAACAGAGTGTAAATTTTTAAATAGCAACGATCCGATGGGGCTGTTCCTTTGCCTTAATCCCGTGACGTTGTTATAAATATTTATTATATCATCGCCATTCCGACCACAAGTGCAAAAGCTGAGGAGCAGTTGCAACTGCGATGGTTTGTAATTAAAGTGCATTATTAATGAAATGCAAATGTCGAGACTTTAATGAAAATCAGAGGGAAGACAATAATGAAAATCAGAGAGGAGACAAGTAAGCGATTTAAGCACTTGTCGATTCACGAATATTATGCATACAAAAATACTTCAAGCTGAAATTCAATTAGCGAAATTGGAATTAAATTAATACACTATTTGGGTGAGCTTGAAAAGTCTCTCTATTCGGATATACCCCCATTTGAATGGGTATCTCAAAGTGCACTGACAGTCCCATAGAATTCCCTTTTGCTCTGGGGAAATGTCACAGGCAAAGGCAAAGCTCCACCCCAAATTTCCACCTGCTGAGAACACACCTAGGCATCTCAGTTGCCAGCACTTTGGGCTGGGAAAATACGCTTACCCATTCACCGATGTCGTCATCGCTTTGAAGGCAGTTTTCTGGCCAGGACGATTGCGGTTCAAGCATACCCCAACACCTCCTGTCATCAGGACCATTAGGGCCAGCATTCCCTTCTTTTTGCCAAGATGTTTTATTTATTGTCATATACTTGAGATTGAAATGTTTTTATATTTTACGCGTTTTATAAAAAAGGTTGAGTACAAATATAAAGAGCCACTTTATCAGTAGCTTTCTGACTGCAGAATCAAAGAATACTCTTTTTCAGTACTTGGAATAATTTTAAATCTTAATTTCATGAAACTTCTCTGTCATCACCTGAATCAGGTGTTTATTGCAAAATGCCCTGAGCGATTTCGTTTCCCTCTTTTCGTGCGACACTTGTAAATGTTCACTTTTACAAGCTGACAATTAATTCCAGTTTTTTTTTTTTCTGCGAATAGATGCCACTGGCTGCATTTTAATTGCCACAGCAACAAGGACATAGTCGACATTAAGAGCCATGACAAAATCCATAAAAATTCTGACAACTAAGCTGCATTTTCCAGGTTTTTTTTTTTTGCTATTTATTATTTGATGGCACTGGGCCAGGTCAGCAATTGATCTTTGGCCTTTGGCAAATGCAAGAAGTGAAAAGAAAAATCGACGGGGCAATTAGGCGACTTCCTCTCTTTGCCAGCAAGCGGCAACTTCGAATTGCAGCTTCCTCAATAATTCGTCGTTATTGCTCTGGCATGCATCCATCTGCAGTCCACTGGCCAGTTGCATATACATACGTACAATATGCATCTGAATACATTATGCAACTGTTTGCCATCTCCCTCGACTCCAGTTGGAGCAGAAACAATTCGTACTCTTAATGAGCTTCCATTAAACTTAATTGCAGTTGCAGCTCTGTTTGCACTCAGCTTTGTTTGTTCGTTCTACAAGAAGATGGCAGTGGCATTGTGGAATCCAAACGTTTGAGGGATTTATCCCCCAAAACACCGTGTTCCCCACCGACTTCCGTTGCATTACCTAGATAATTGGGATTGCATGCCCAGTACATAGAACATTTCTAGTGGTTATACCAATACGAAGTGTACTTAAATCCGCAAAATTGGTTTTATTTTCATGCATGCCCAATTGAAACCCCACAATTTCAATAGAAGTTTATACTCTCTTTGAAACATTGCATATTTATCTCTTTGCATACTTTCACTTTGCTATGCCAATTTGGTTTAATGGCCATTGAAAGCGACTGGCAGTGATTGCACTTCGCGGTTGCCCTCTTAACCTCAAAAGAATCTTCTGCAAATGTAGAATAATTAAATTGTTCACTTCCTTTGCGGAGAGCGGCACAATGAGTTCATTATGCGAGATCTTGCAAATATATATACACGGCTTTTATCTTGCGAAAATTCTAATTAATCAATTCTTTTGTTCTCGAACGTAACTAGGTGACCCTTTGTTTTAAATTATGCTGGCATCTAATTGGTCGACCCTCTCCTAAAAAAGACATCAAACAGTGAAGGGGAATTTGGAGTAATGTGCAGCAAAATAAAACGTTAAGTAATACGTTTAAAAAAATCAATTTACTTGACTCAAATGAAATGCTCTTTAGTGACAACATAACCCGACTGACAACTTCAAGAGTGAAGCACAATGAGAGTTGCAATCTAACCGACCAAGCCAGACGAGAATCGCGGCAAACACGCAGCTTTTGTTTAACGCATGATATATTAATGAACATTAGCTGCATTTGATGTCGTCGCAGACCGCAGACAATGGTAAATGGTAGATGGAAACAATAACGACACTCAACTGGAGTACAGTGCTCCAAAGTGGTCGCCATGGAGCCGGAGACACTCCATCCGAGCACTAAGGAGCTCTAATGGCAGTCATAGCGAAGGTGGAGTGGGCATAAATCTGTTCAAGTGGCAGGAAGTAGAAGTGGCTCACTTCAATTAGATCTACTACACAATCCAGCTAATTTCGCACGATACGAGTTGGCTTTAAATGGGATTCGGTTATGATACTGAGTCTATTGGTATGGTATATATATAAACCCGAATATTGTAGAGTAGTTATTCAAACAATTACACTTTTGTTTACCACATTCTGTTTGATCAGTTTGTCAGACTTTGCTTAGCGGTCTCAAAAGAATTACCAAATAGCAAAGACCCCTCTCCGGAAGGGGTATTACCAACCAGCACTCCCACTTGTTACCCAAGTCTAATGACTCCGACTCATAGATGGGCATATAGACTGGCTGGCTGACAACCTGCTCATTGGCAGTGCCACACTTTTTCTTCCATACTGCAACAGGTTGTGTCATATATGGGCAGTGGGATATGGCTTACAATAGCATTGGGGTTAGGAAACCATTGCAAATAGCTGGAAATGTTGGATGGGAAGGCAGCACGCTATGCTCGTTGATTCAATGATTGAGATAGATACTTCACAGAAAGCCGACGATGCGCAGAAATGTGCAAATTGAAGTGACTGTCCGATAAGAAATGTAAATGCTGCTTCTCCATGGCGGTATTTCGTCTACAGTCGTCATTTGTCGGGGTGTTCGAGTAAGATCTATCGCTGTCTTCGTGTCTGTTTTAATTAGAGTGTATGTTCTAATTTTCTTACAGCTATTTGACACTTGAATGTGGATCACTGGAAGTTCTGTAACTTTGTTCAAAATTACAAAATCCAAAATCAAACAGGAAACAGGCAGTCATAAATACCGAAATGACATCATATTCCCCAAGGTCTTGCTTTCATTCAAAAATTTATGATCGCATAGCAGGAGCCAGCAAAACATTAAAATTCATATTCGTTCAAATTGCGGTCAACTGAAGAATTGCTGTATAAATAGCGATCTAGCCAAATATTACATTTTTCCACTCGGTCTATTCGTTGTAAGAATTATTGTTATTCTCCAAATTGTTTGTTTTCCAAAGAGAACGCATACATTTTTCGTTTTTGAGTGCAAACAAAAACAAGATAGACTGCTATAGTCGAGTTCCCCGACTATCAGATACCCTTTACTCAGCTAGTGAAAGTGCAAACGAGAAACATTTTCAATGAAATGAATAATAAAATAAAAATAAACTTAAAAATTTGTTGAAAGTGTGTGCGTGGCAAAGAGTTTTTTGCAAATCTATAGAAATTTACAAGATTTATAAACAGTGCACAGTTTTTGGCGGTTTGGGCGCTTACTTCTGTCTGTTACATACTTTTCAACGAATCTAGTATACCCTTTTACTCTAAGAGTAACGGGTATAACAAGAGCCAAGTTCGAGCAATGTGAAATGGTTTTCGAGCAGAATTTAGCACATTAGCGCACTCAACTGGAACCGCAAAACGGAAATCCCAGAAACGCTAAAAGTGTCCATTAAAAACATGCATAAATGTATTAATTGATGTACAAAAAGTTTGCTTAAATCGAGCTCTTTCCATGGGGAAGTGGCCAACTTTGGATACAAAGCAAAAACCTAATTGATTCTGGGCCTCGGCAACCGGCGCCGTTTTGCTCGAGTGCCCCCCAATATTTTCCATCCATGTACAATGGACGAAGCTGAGCGTAAAAATTTCAACAACTCTTTCAATGGAGATTTCTGCGGCGAGATAAAGAATACTGGAACAAAAGATAGTCGAGCTCTGATTAAAGTTTGGCCTAAGCCACTTGAAAATACGCTTTCGTTTGTATAATAATCAAAAGGAAAATTATAATATAATCTTCAGGGATTTAAGCTTTTGAT